AGAAGGGAATCATGGCGTGGAAGAGAGCAAGAGCTTCGAGCCAGAGGACCTCCCGCACAACAAAAGACGGAGAGACAGACAAGAAGAAGAGCTGCCAAAAAGTTGCTGCCAAAATGACGATGAGAATAGTGATGGTAGTAGTGGTGAAAGCAAGAAGAATGATAGAGAGAGCACTCCTAAACGAAGTCGAGTGCAGGGTGACAGTCTTAGTAGACACGTGCAGTTTTCTTCTGTTATTACTACGGTATCTGTCTTTAATCCTGAGAATAGCGTAGCTCCCCCTACGACGCTCGGTCCCGGGGTCCCAGATAGTGGACTATAGAAACATTTTGTGTTTCCCGCCGCACTGAGACTGACGTCTTTTCATTGGTCAGCCGGTTAGCGCGGTCGATGCTAATAATAAAAGCACACACACGACGCGCGGCGCTGTATCGGTGAAAACAAAAATCAAATTCAAAAAGGACAGGACATGCGTACTGGTAGCTGCACTGCACTGACCTCTGTTGAGAGCAGCGGCGAGTTCGTCCTTCCTCATGCGCGAACACCCAGACATGCCGCGAGCCCTGCACTCATCGTAGAGATCCGCCCTGGTCCCTCCCATCTGGCTTGTTGGCCTTCGCCCTCCGGTGGACCTCCTCGACGTTCCGCGATCGTCTGTTTACGTTCAGTGTACACGAGCAGCAAGCACGTGGCTGTAAAAATCTTGAAATGAAATTTCTTCACACGCACACGGCGGTGTCGGTGAACATAAAATCGAAAGGACGGGACTTGCATACTGGTAGCTGCACTGCACGGACCTCTGTTGAGAACAGCCGCGAGTTCGTCCTTCCTCATGCGCGAACACCCAGATATGCCGCGACGCTTGCACTCATCGTAGTAATCAGCCCTGGTCCCTCCCATTTTGCCTGAGCACAGACGGGATCGATAGCATCATTCGTTGGAAAAGTACCGGCACATCACGGATGTGGAATACCTCGAAAAAAAATCAAGAAGTACTTCCTTCAAAGAAACAATCTGCAGGGTAACAATCGGAAGAGTGGCAATCACAGGGGGCGCAGGTAAATCGGGGGAGAATTGGTGCATTTTTGTCCTTTTTTGTGAAGTATACAATTGTATTTTTTTAACCACTATCCACTACAGATACGAGGGATTAGTGTGCTAGGACAAGTTCCGCTATCAAGAGAGGATCACGGGGGTACTCTCGGTTAGGCGAATAGACAAATACTCGTGGAGGACGGTGGGAAACAGCGGCCTAGTTCTCACATGGAATTGTCCGACAGCGGCAACAAAACATTTTTTTTCAGAGAGAAAAAGTGTTGGGGAATGCCAAAATATCCGAAACCAGGGGAATCCAACCAATTTCTTCGAACCGGAGGTTGCGGGTGGGTGTTCTAAGCAACTCTGCGAAAAGAAATCAGGGAAATAGTACATCCTGGCGGCCCGAGGGTGCCGGATACCTCGGTAACTCGGGAGCGCACACACGGCACATTTTCCCCCGAGGCCACGTGATTTTCGATTTCGGGATACAGTCGAGGGACCCTTTTAGTGCCGGTTGAATAGTGCCAGATGCCCGGTATAGTGCCGGTAAAATCTCTGCACACAGGCGGAGCTCTCAATAGTGCCAGACCGGCACTAATTAAAGCATGCCCGATATAGTGCCGGTTCGGCACTGCTGTCACCCCCAATAGTGCCGGTACTCCGCACGCGCGAAACACACACACGCACAACCCAGGGCAGAAAACATAGACTCCACACACAGAAATAGGGTACACGTGCTGCTGCAGACCCGAACAGCTCTACACAGGGGCGTACCATGCCCTGTGCGGAAGGTGAACTGTGCCAACTACAGGACACCACGCCGCAAGACCCTCATGGTCACGGCTGCCAGGGAGGATGTGGCGGGCGACTGCACGGCATTTGCGGCAGTGTGGTTGATGTAGGCAACGAGAATCACCGCATCTGCAGCGCGTGCGTCGCCAAAGCCGGCAAGCGCAAAGTGTCAGCAGCAGACAGCACT